AATGTGGGCAACAGGAAATGTTTATTTATATACAAGTACATGGGAAAGCAATTTCCATTTAGTTTTTTTAAAAAATTGTTACAAATAAAAAGTTTTTAATACATTCATCCTTTGCACACAAAATACATTCTTTTTCTTTTACTCTCAGTATGAATTATTTCTGAATAATAAAAACATAAGCTACAATGAATGGACAGTCATATGGTTTGGCGATTTGACAAACTTTTTTTCAAGAAGTAAAGTCCAAACTTTAAAAGACAGACAATATACAAAATAACTTACATATTTAAAATGCTACTTCATTGAATCCTAAAAGATTGAATGAGCACTCTTATCCAGCATGATTTGTAGTTGTCCTTTAAACAATGCAGAGGACAAGAAATCCTCTATGTGATGGCAACTCAATTTCTACAAGACTGAAACAGTCTTCATGAAATTGATTGATTATCACATCTAAATGACAGGCTCATAGAAAAATTCTTATGGATATATTAGGGAGTTAGACTTTATTCAGGGGTCTCCTAATTGATCAGTTAAACTAAGATCATAAGTTGCACTCACCAAATAGGATTGCAAGAGGTTCTGCTTAAACATAAATGATTTGATTTGTTAGACTAATTGTTTTTAAGAGAGATGTGAAAACATACACCCATACAAAAAACTTTTACATAAATGTTCATAGCAGCATTATTATAATCAAAAAGTGGAAACAACCCAAATGTCCATCAGATGATAAATGGACAAATAAAATGTGGCATATACATACAATGAAATATTATTTAACCATGAAAACAATGTACTGATTTATGCTACAACATGGATGAGCTTTGAAAACATTATGCTTAGAGAAGCCAGACACAAAAGGCCACATATTGTTTGACTATATGAAATGTCCAGGATAGGCAAATTCTTAGAGACAGAAAGTAGATTAGTGGTTGCCAGATACTGGGGGAAGGAGGAGGAGGAGTGATTGCAAATGGTATGGGGTTTCTTTTGGAAGTAATGAAAATGTTCTGAAGTTAGGCAGTGGTGATGTTGCACAACTTAGTGAATATGTTTACAAACATTGACGTTTACACCTTAATAGGGTAAACTGTATGGTGCACGAATTATATCTTAATTTTAAAAAGAGATGCAACTTCATTTAAGAATATTTTGTTCAAGTTTGTGTTCCCTCTCCCCTTCCCTTTTTTAATGTTGATTGAATTTTTCACACAATCATCTTTCTACAGAATGTTTTCAGCTAATTGGACTCAGGTCATCAGTGGGTTATATTTCTAACAGGCTTTTGTTAAGTAAAAAGATCAATATATGAACACATAAAATATGATGTAGTATACTGTTAATATTTGCATATTAACATTTAAAATCAAGTACTATTCTTATACTGAAGTTGGTTAGATTTTATATATTGCTGTATACAAATAATACTGATATCCTATGCTTAAAACCAATAGCCAAATATCAAGAATCGAGTTCATAAAACTCAGTGATTAACTTGTTTATTAGTTAAAACTATGTGTGTATTAATATTAAAGATCCATGTCTTAATGGAGTGATAGGAAAGGTGGGGGAGATCAAGGATTCTCTAAGTTTTCATAAAGCAGCTTCTCTAAATATTTTAACTAGCTGCTGAGATCTCCAGAATTATATATTTTGCATTTTATTTCATCTCTATACTAAAAGTCATGCATTAAAAGTGTGTACAAGATATATAGGGCACACTTTTTCCCTTCAGATTATCAAAAACCTCTTTTTACTCCTGTATTATCTGAAATTTGGAGCAGAGTTTGTTTCTTCTTTTTCCTTTTTTTTTTTTTGCTGAAAACAGAAATTTTGTTCACGAGTTAGTTCAAATACATTTATGTAGCTCCCTTATATACTATCAAAGGAGCTCCAACCATCTGGCATGTCTGGAAGACACTTCAGTGAGTAGAAATTAGAAGCCAGCATTTGAAATTTTCTACCACAGGGACATGAAAGCCTAAACCAGCCTTAAAGGGATAAGAGGATTTTACATTTTTAAAAAATAAATCAATTAACATTCATTGTCAAATAGCCTACAAGAAAGTTCCACTAGCATTCTGCAATTGTATAGAATAAGAGAATATTTGTTGCTAATGATTACATTCCAGAAAGTAATATGTTTAGCAGCTGTTTTTCAAAAGACTTGTCAGGTTTTACTATTGTTATTTAATCCAGGCATAACTGTGTAACCTTAAACAAAAACTGTGCATTATTCAACCAGCTAGTGACAAATTATCTTAACAAACTAGATTATCTTTTGCTTTTCTGTACATGAATTTTTGCTTTTTTAGGCATTTTGTATTCCAATTTTTGTTTTAGAATTTAGTGCACATGTAGAAAGGGGAAGAAACCCTTTTGGATGTTGGTAATTATGTACATCAAATAATGTCATATATGAAATTAAAAGCAGATCACAAAACTGAGATTCATGACTCCATTTTTACCAAGGGAAGGAAACAAGAACCATACAGCCAGAATAATTCTTCAGAAGCACACTTTGTTATCAATTATATAACTAAAGAATCAAAGTATATATATATAACTGAAGAGTTAATCAACAGTAAGACTGTGATCTACATCTGATACCAGTAAGAAGCTAAGAGTAATAAATACCCATCCTGACATTCACCAAGTAAATAATGATTATCATTTTAATGATTATCATTTCAATGATAATCATTATTTTTTTTCTGACTGTTATTGTTTTAAATAGGCAAAAGAGCAATAATAAATGGCATACGTGGCTCCTTAAAAAGAAGACGGATCAACCCAATTTTCTTCCCATGAAGAATAGGATCAAGAAGAAAGAGGTTTAAATTGCTCTGTGAGGTATTTCAGTTCTAAGATTAAGCTTCCTGATAATGAGTTTACAACCCTGGAATTGCCTATTGGGAGAGAGAGAGACCACCTTGCCTGAAGTTTGTAAAGAAATGGAGGGTGACAGCAATGCCCAAAGGCAAAAGGATGGATCAGATAAATGACTTCCTTTTAAGGCATCCTTTCAGAAATGGAGTTCTTTTCTTTGAAGCCAGGAAAGTTTCTGTGTTTTGTCTCTTAAGGATCTACACTTGGCATCAGACCATTCAGTCTGCTCTTAATTAACGAGAAAAGGAACTAATATTTGAGTGCTGTTTACCAAGCACTGTACTTTCAACTTATCTAATTTTCACAATAATCCTGACAGGTCTGTCTCATAGATGAGAAGATTGATGCTCAAGACATTGTGCTTCGCCTAAAGTCTCAGCCAATTTGTGGCATACTAGGACTCCTCACACCTAAACTAGTGTTTCCCCTTCTATATAACTCCCCACATCACTCTCTGAGGTATCAAAGTCACCAACCACCAAAGATTCCATCAGGAACTAGAACACAGCATCTCCAAAAATTCTGCTTTAAATCAATGGAAAAGTAAAATTTTGGCTCATACCTCAAGAAGTCAAAGAAGTGGTGACTAGCCTTTGTGCTCTGACCTCTTGTCCAAAGGAGTCCAAGAAAGTCTCAATCAAACTCAAATAGATTTGTCACCATACTGATTTAAGACCAATGACTTAAAAAACAAACAAACAAACAAACAAACAAAAAAAGACCAGTGAAGAGCTATCTATCAGCCTTGCAATGGTGAAAGTTATTTTGCAGGTGGAATAATTTGGGTCATAGGCTTCATTAGCAAAAATTGCTTACAGTTACCTCTAATTTTCAAGTCAAAAATACTTGTTTTTATTGCTTTCCACATAAAGCAATTTGACCTCAGTTCTTTTAAACTTATGTATTCTCAAGAGAATCAAACCAACAAAGGAAATGTCATTGAGACTTCTCTAAAATAGATCTTGGGGACTGCTTTATGTCAGTGACCCACCAGCCCATCTCTCTTGGGAGCTGCAAAACTTCTTGTTGGTCTGTTTGTGAGAACTTTAACAAAAGATTCTGCTCTGTTAAAAAGGCATATCCTAAAATCTTGAAGGAGACACCCATTATTTATTAAACAGAGCAAGGCCTATGTTTGGCAAGTGATAAATGAATAATTTCATGTAACTTCTACTAAAACAATACCTTTTGATTTTTAACTCAAGAACCAATTTGTGATTTCAACAGGACATCAACGAATGGACTGATAAAGCAAGTCCAGCATGGGGCATAATGGAGGGTCAGTCTCTTGGCCTAACAACGTGCAACCAACCTCTTCCCTGAAAGATGAAGGTGGGATGCACTGTGGCAGAAGAACGAGGGCCCATTAAAAAAATCATTAGCTATGAATTAACAGATATTTAATTGAACATATTATGAGGGGCAAAGTACTACATACAACATGGGAATTTAGGTTAATAGGTCACCTGCTCCAATCTCCAACCAATGGGATCTTCTCCACATCTTTGCCTCTTGACAGAGGCTATCACCTGAGGCAGCCTGTCCCATACTGAACCAACTTTTTGAGAATGGTCTCCCTGACATGGAACCCAAATCTGTGTCCCTACGGCCTCATTCAGTGGGCCTCATTCCACCCCTCTGAACCACAGATCATCTTGTTCTAATGCACTAATTGTAATCCCCTCTTTTTCCTAAGTCTCCCCAAATCCTTCAGGTATTCTTTAAATGTCTTGCATTTAAAATTCCTTCACCAGTCGGGTAATGCCTCCATTTGTTTTTAATTTCAAAGTATGGCTCCTGGAAATGATAATAACATTCCAACATCAAGGGACTGAGGAGAGGAGATGATATACCATCTCCCTTACTCTAACGTTGCTATATTAATATGTGTTTTGAAGGGATGATAATTTCTTGATTCAGTATGAAAAATTTGCCAGTGTGAAGAATGTAAAGGAAGGCATCTTTCCTTCCAAACACAAATTGGCTTATGTCACAGAAATAAAATCCAAAAAGAAAGTAAAGAAAACATATCCCTCCCTTATCCCAAAATTAGTGTTTAACCATGCTGCTTAAATGGAACACATTTTGTCTGAAGGATGAGAAGCAAATGTTGTTTCACAGCTTTTAATTCTTTAGTGAAGTCTCAAAAGTATCATAGTATAAACATGTCAGGACCATGGTTGAGAAAAGTAACCAGTTGCAGTTAAAACAACAACAACAAAAAAAATTATAGAAAAAAAGTAATGGCAAACCCTAGAAGATCTCTCCCAGAGGCTAACAGAGCAATGATCCCTAAGTACTTGTTACTGTGAAATACAGAGTTCTACAGGATTAAGAAATAAAAAAGACATTAGATTTTTGCCCTAAATGACAGGTAATAAATCTAAACTTAGGAACATTTCCTCACAGTTCAAAAAGGTCGGCCCACCTCGATTAACTTGTTTTCTGAATATCTTTAGTTGCTGGCTTAGTGGAGAAGGCCATTGGTTTGATATGCAAAAAAAAAAAAAAAAAAAAAGAAAGAAACAATTTTTCTGATTGTGCTATTTCATTCATGTGGCTTGATTTAAAAGAAGATGTTTCACTTTAGTAGGAAGACCAATTCAAAATCATTTACAACTGCTATTCAGTATGAGTCATGAACTGAAACTTGGTGCGGGATCTGATAGAATTATGGGCTAACTTAAAGGGTAATGTGGCAAATCATTGGCCTAATTCTGTGGGAATCACCAGTGTCCTCCCAAGGCATATATTCATGAATGAAAGAAGATAAGAACCCAGTCCTTTGTTAAATCTGGCGTCTCTGGCCAAATCTAAACGGCTTAAATAATCCTGATCCAAATATCTTATTTTGGTCAATTGTTTCTACCTTCCTTATTAACTCTAAATCAGAACTTGACACATTGTCAAATCAACCCATTTAACTTTCATTTTTAGTTTTCTTGCCACTTTACTCAGGGAGAGATAAAAACGTGAAATGATTAAAAGACCGAGAAAAAGAAAGGTCAGGAAGAGCCCATGGCCTAATCTAAGTAACCCACCAAAAAGATCATTGGCCCTGTAAATTCAAAAAATATTAATATAATTCAACAGATTTAATAAAAGCATACAAAGGGAGAAAAAGCCTTCTATGGGCAAAGAAGCACAAACTCCTTTGAGGATGTAGTCTACACAAAGCCATAATAAAATATCATTATCAGCAAACTATTATTTCATAGATTTTCCCAAGCCTGACTCCATGACATGAGTATCATGCATTTTCATTGGAAACAAAAATGTTTTGCCATATATTTAATAACTTTATTGAAAGAAGAAAAAGATCACACCAAAAATGGAGGAATACATGAACCCTGGTAGTCCAAGCCAAATTAAACTATGATAAAGCAATTTCTCTTTTTTCATCCACCATTAGATGAGAGTTCATTTTTATGTAAAGAAGGCTCATCTTAGCAAACAGTGCCATGACAATAAGACTGTTAGGCAAACCAATAAATTTAGGTTCTGGCCTGGGTTAAGATGACTGTAATTAGTGTCCTTTCTCAAATTCTACTTGAAGGAATTTCTGTTCAATCAAAAAAAGCTCCTCCCCCCACCCCTCCTTCTTGGCACTTAAATGTTTATTTGACTAATATTTATTGCACCTACAAAATTGTCAGGGATTGTTTTCAAACTTGAGATATATTAGTAGACAAGCATCTGTAAGGTCTAATCTGGAATTCACACAACTAAGAAAAAAAGAAACAAAGTCCCACATTCTCATGTGTTCCTGCTGATGGGCTGTGCATGGGTAAGTTATGGAAAGGCTGGGAGGAGCAACAAGGAAGAAAGAGGCCAAGATCAGAGCTTTTTAATCCCCTTCTGAGTCTGGCCAAGGGTATATAGAGAAGGCTAAACCCTAGGGAATAATACAAGTGTGACCCTAAAAGGTGTTATTTTGCAACTAAATCAGTCCAATCTAACACAGCCATTTCCTCTAAGTTCACAAAGCAACTTTATTTTCAACACACTTGCTACTGTGAGACAAAGTTGGGTCGTCATGTGCTGGGGACACTGGATTTTTGCCCTAAATGACAGGTAATAAATCTAAACTTAGGAACATTTCCTTACAGTTTAAAAAAAGTTCTTCTGCCCTCCTTGATTAACTTGTTTTCTGAATACCTTTAGTTGCTGGCTTAGTGGAGAGGCTGGGGAGGGAAAGGCAACAATTATTATAAATTATTTTGGTTTTTATTAAAATGACTTTTCTTTCCTACAAAGACAGATTCTAAAAGAAAAACAAGTCAAACTTCTGGGATCCCTTTCTCTTTCCCATAGGATCAGGAAAAACACAGTGAGGCCAATCAAAAGTATCAGTCCCTTAAAAAATATGCATAATCTCATGTGCAAGAGACTGGTCAATCTGGAATCTGCTAGAGAAATGCCAGAAATGCTTTATCCACATCGTGTCTTTACATGACTCGATTCTTTACAATTAAATAGCTTTCAAACATCAACATATCAGGACTGAGATTGTCACCATCTACAGCAACAGTGGAATTAAACATCATATCCTTATTCCATTACTCCTCCCTCAGTTATGCTAAGCAGCAAGCTACAGAAACATCTGACAGCATCAACAGCATACAGGTTTAATTATTTTCCCAATTTGCATTTATATCAGTGAACAAATTGGAAGCTATCAAAGTATGGCACTGAAGAAACAGAAACACATATTCAGCAGCACATCTCCCATTTTGAGTCCTGTTTTTAAATTGGCTAAGTAAAGGCATATACACCTCCATTTGAATTGGAGATTTGCAGTAACACATGCATATAAGGATGGGAGGGAAGGAGGGAGGGAGGGAAGAAGAAAAGGAGCGACCAGAAAAACAGAGAGGAAAGGAGAAAGAAAAAAGAAAGAACGTAGGGTTAAGCGTCTGAAGGTAACATTATTACAAGACGGAGGGGATAAATGACAGTTCAATCTGCTTCCACAAGCAGAATTTTTCTAAGGTTATCACAGAAGATATAAAAACGGGTTGTGAGACTTTTCATCTGTTGCTATTCTCACTTACCATACTAAAAAATCTACAAAATCCTAAGCCTTGGTCTGTCCAAGATGGAGAGTACCAGGAAGTAAAAGACGTGACCTACTATCGAGGACTGTGCTCTGCTTGGAGCCCTGCACTACAGTCCACTCATCCACAGTATTTTGGTCATATCTGGTCTGTTTCCTCATACTACTCAAAATGTCTTAGAGCTAAGTTTTTATATTAGAATGTCATCAACCATTTATTTATTTATTTTTTTCATTTTGCAAACTTTTTCATTTACATAAAGGACCGGAGACACAAGAGAAGAAAGTGGTAGAGATTCAGAGAAGAACATAAAAGGAAAACTATTCTCTTTTCCCAAAAATCCACCTTTAAAAAGGTAGTAATGAGACTTTGAGAAAGAGTATTGATTCATGGACTTCCCCCAATTTTTTTTTATTTCCTTATAATACATTTAAGGACATTAACGTACTAAAACGTTTGGTCTGTGAAATAGCGGAATCATTAGCACCAAAAGGAGTCATGGAGTTTGTATATATTATTAAAACAATGATTGTTACTGTTGGTCATGGGTAAAGGTTTCATTTCATTTTTACATCCCAAAGTTCTTGAAAGTGCCTGTGGACAAGAGAAATAACACTTTTCAAAATCTCCATGGGGTCGTCAATACGCACCACAGAGACTGTACTTGGCCTTCCCAGTTTTGGTTTATCTGGTAGACAAGAAAATCAGGGCCCCAAGATGATTACCACCGAAGCCCTAAAGAACAGCTCCCACATGCACCCACTGATGTGCAGGAGGGATCCCTACAGTACATTTCCCCCTGGACTCTGTTCAGGAATGCGCTTTTACTTGCTTTTTAAAAAAACAAAAGCAACATGCTCTGCAGATCATGGAGTGCCTAGTGCAATTTTCTCCTTGCTCCAACTCCAGACTGCAAAAGGGTGAAACCATTATATGTTCTGCTAATGCTGGCCTGTGGTCGAGGCCCTTGGCCTGCCATGCTTTGTAAGCTCAGGAGCCCACAGGAGTCCGAAGGTCCGAGACCGGGAGCCACAGTCATCGCCAGATCTCCCCAGCATCTCATGGCCCATCAGGGCAGTTGCTGATTCCTTTTGCTTCTCCGTGCCTCAGCCTTTAGTTGAAATTACAACAAGTCAAATAGCTGATGCTTTTCCCTTCTCCAGGTAAGGGTGAAGATACATTGTTCACAAGTGTGTTCTGTCTGGCTTCACTGATGAGTCGGCATGCTAAGTCAAGGAAGAGTTTCTCCACATTATCAGATTCCTTGGCTGAGGTCTCCAGATAATACATGTCCTGAGCTTCTGAGAATTCTTCAGCTCGCTGCTGGGAAACCTCTCTCCTTTCAGCCAGGTCAATCTTGTTGCCTATAACAGTAGTAAAATCAAATAAAGAATCAGTATTTGACTTTTTGCAGGCTGAGAAGCATCAAAATTCAACTCCAGATCTGAAGTCAAACCAGACAGATGGGCAAGTAAAGCAAAACAAATGTGACTGTGATTACTGAAATGTTTACTTTAAAATATGAGTGCCAGCTGTGTACAGTGGCTCACACCTGTAATCCCAGCACTTTGGGAGGCCAAGGCGGGCGGATCACAAGGTCAGGAGTTCGAGACCAGCCTGGCCAATATGGTGAAACCCTGTCTCTACTAAACATACAAAAATTAGCTGGGTGTGGTGACACGTGCCTGTAGTCCCAGCTACTTGGGAGGCTGAGGCAGAAGAATCACTTGAACCCCGGAGGCGGAGGTTTCAGTGAGTCGAGATCACACCACTGCACTCCAGCTTTGGTAACAGAGTGAGACTCCATCTCAAAAAAAAAAAAAAAAAGTGCCATTCATAATGGCAAGAACTAGAGACAACCCAAATGTCCATCAGTAGGGCACTGACTGAATAAACTATGGTACATCCACACAATGGAGTATTTGCTGCTGTAAAAATCAATTAGGAGTATTTCTATATACTGCCATGTAATGGAAACATTGGGATACGCTGTTAAGAAAAAAAAAAAGCAAAGCAGAAAAAACAAGTATATACAATATGCAACTGTCTACCCAAGAAAAAGGGAAGGCTATGAATACATATATTACACACGTATTTTAGTTCTTTACTTTTTAATAGAAGAATAAATCAAAATCTTAATTTAAAAGAAAATGGTTACCTATGAAAACAACAGCGTTGAGGTGAAAGGAATAGAAACCCGATCTCTCTGAATATACTTTGTTTTGTAGATTTTACTTTAGGAACTTAAAAATGCTTTATATAATTATACAATTAATTTCAAAATTAAATTTAAAAACCAATCCCTAAAAACTGAAAGCAAAATTAAGCAAACGAACATGTTCATCATGTGTGGAATAACCACACAGAGTATAACCCTTTTTTCCTTTTAATTGAGACAAAGTCTGGCTCTACTGCCCAGAGTGGAGCGCAGTGGCGCGATCTTGACTTGCTGCAACCTCCGTCCCCTGGGCTCCAGCCATCCCGTCTCACCTCAGCCTCCCCAGTAGCTGGGACTACAGGCGTGCACTACCATGACCAGCTAATTTTTTTTTTTTTTTTTTTTTTTGCAGAGACAGGGTTTCGCCACGTCCAGGCTGGTCTTGAACTTGTGAGCTTCAGCGATCCACCTGCCTCGGCCTCCGGAGTGCTGGGATTATAGACTATTGAGCCACTAAGCCAGGCCAACAGAGTAACTATTTCAAGGTGTTTAAAATACAGTAATTCCATGCAACCCCAGTGGTATACAGCCTAAGGACAAAAAGAATTGAAGAAACAATCTTGAACTGTTTCAGTAATCATTCTTGGTGGTGGTGCTGTTGGTATTATTATTCTGAGGTTGCTATCTGTGTATTATGGGATAAAGCAAATTAGTAGTTATGCTGATATCTTTGGGAACTGGGACTTTTGGCATAGGAAAAATGAAATATAAACATAAGATTAATGAGGTTAAGTAAAATTTCTGCAGTCCTGAATTATAAATAGAAGTATCAGTATGAATAATTCATGATGTATTTTATCTTTAAAAAGTTTTCTACCTACCTCAAATTCTCCAGGAAACCTGACAAAGGTGTGTCAATTGTATTATCTGGCAACACCACTTATGGTAAAAATGACCCCTCATTGATAAATTACTTCTGGCCTGGGAATTCTATCTACGAATTATAAACACCTAATGGAAAGCCATAGCTCTGAGCTTCCCTGAATGTGGTGACTTCACTTGAAGAGACCCTGAAAGTTATGATTGTGGAGTTGCTATGATAGATTTAGGCTCCTATGGGGTATTGAGGCTGCTAGGCCAAGGCAGATCCTCCATTTGTTTGACATGAACCTTGCTCCCTCACACTAGAATTGTCTGGGGTGTGGGGACCGGGTAGGAGGTCCTGGAAAGTTACATGGACTGCTACTAGGATTACTTCCACTGAAGAGGGAAGCTGGATGCTGATCTGCTGTTAAGCTGTGTTTCCTGTCCTGCGTCCTTCTAAGTGAACACAATGCCATGCGTGGTCTATGGTAGTCTTGTGAGTCGGAACGCTAGCAGAACATAATAGGAAAACCCTCCTGAGGATACTACAGAATCCACCACACACATGCACACATACAAACAAGCTCTGTCCACTGAAAGGCCTAAAAACAATGGCTAAACAGGAGGGCTCCTAACACCTAGGTTGTGGCCTCTAAATATGACTCCCTATTGAAAATAAAGCACTTCTTGAACAAATGGCTAATTTCAGGTCTGGGGCAGGAAATGCACAAGATGTGACTGAAACACTTGTTATACCAGAAAGCAAAAAAATTATCCAACATTCCTGGGGTCATATCAAAAGGACTCAGGAGCCCATTTGAAGAAGCTCCCACTGGTAAAGTTGGAATAATGGGAGCATCAGTAATAATAATTGCAAGGGACTGAAATACATCAAATTTAGTTAGTTAGTTAGTTTTTGAGACAGAGTCTCGCTCTGTCACCCAGGCTGGAGTGCAGTGGTGCAATCTCGGCTCACTGTAACCTCTGCCTCCCAGGTTCAAGAGATTCTCCTGCCTCAGCCTCCCGCTGGGATTACAGGCACACGCCATCATGCTTGGCTAATATTTTGTATATTTTAGTAGAGATGGGGTTTCACCATGTTGCCCAGGCTGGTCTCAAACTCTTGACCTCAAGTGATCCACCTGCCTCGGCCCCTCAAAGTGCCGGGATTACAGGCGTGAGCCATCGCGCCCAGCCCATCAAATTTATTTAAATCTATAAATTTATAATAATATTAAAAATATAAACAGATGTCAATAGTTACTTTTAGAAGATACTGGAGAACCAGCTCATTACCTTGAAAAGTAGTGAATAAAAAAGAATCAAGCATTCTTCTTGCCTGTCCTATGAGAACTACCCCTCAGAGTATGATATATGTAGCGTTTTGTCTAAAAAGAAAACCAAAAAAACCCTGACTGTCATCAGGCCTCTAGACTTACCTACAAATCTGCAAGAAATACAGGTGATGGAGGTGATATCAAATGATACCTCAGGGGCTATAAAACAAAATTTAGACTTGTAAAGCCTATAGGACAAACAAATGCATTAGCAATAAATTCTAATAGAGAAAAAAAATGGGAGTGGAAACGTCAGGAAAAAAAAATGAAAAGATGTAGCTGTCAATCACAACGTATGGACCTTAGATGGTGTTCTTTTTTTTTTTTTTTTTGAGACAGAGTCTGGTTCTGTCACCCAGGCTGAATGCAGTGGTGTGATCATAGCTCACTGCAGCCTTCAACTTCTGGGCTCAGGTGATCCTCCTGCTTCAGCTTCCTGAGTAGTTGGGACCACAGGTTCATGCCATCATGCCTGGCTAATCTCGCTATATTGCCCAGGCTGGTCAGAACTGCTGGGCTCAAGCAAGCCTCCTGCCTCAGCTTCCCAAAACAGGTGGGAGCCACCGTGCCCGGCTTCTGGACCTTATTTGGATCTTAATTTGAACAAACAAACAAAAAATTCATGAGTTGATCAGGGAAATGTGAACTCTGTCTAAGTTTTTAAGGCTACTAAGGAATTGTTAACATATTTTAGGTGTAAAAATGCCACTGAGGTTAGGTTTTCTTTTAAAAAATCTATTAGAGATATACACAGATATTGAAACATGAATTAATACAACAGCTGAGATTTGCTTCAAAATAATCTGAGGGAGAAGGTGGACGCATTGCTAGGGAAGAGAAAATAAGATTGGTCATGAGTTAGTAACTGTGAAAGCCGGGAGATGTGTAGAAGGGGATTCACTATACTGTTTCTCTACTTTTTGCTTATGTTTGAAATTTTCCATAGTAAAATTGTTTTTTAAGCCAATTCCTCTTTCATATTGTACTAATTATCTCCCCTCAAATTTTCATTTAACTTCCTTAGATAAAATCCCAAGTAGTAATGCTTTGACTCAAGTTCCTGAAGGCTTTCTGTAAAACAGAAGGTACAAATGTAGACCTCTCAAATGCTTCATGGCAAAGGTTCAACATTGTCCAAAAGGGTTTTACAGGGAGCACTAGCTCATAGAAACACAGATGCTTCACCCAGCAGCTTGAAGGAAGAGTCTAGCAATTTGTTACAACGTAACATATTACACAGCTGGACAACTACAGGGCTTGGAGTTGATTTTACGTGCTGTGTGACCTTGGGAAAAGAACTTCACCTCTTTGAGTCGTGGTTTCCTGATCTGTAAATCAGGGATCATGATACATAAAGTTCCTCGTATCATTCCTGGCACACATATACCAATTATAACACTATTCTAAAGTGTTTACTGAGCTTATTATTAACCATAATTTGTAACTTAACAATGCTTCTAAGGCTCTCTACTCAAATTTCCCAAATTCAGGTATTGCTAGACTATATAGGAACGTTCCTTTCTAGGAAGAAAATATGTTAATGATCAAATGGTTACTGACACTTTTCCACTACAGACAGAGAAGTTTTTAATGACCTGGTCCATTTCAATGCATGTATCAGTCATGATAGAAAATCAAGGGTTGTTTCATGCTTTCCCCGACACTAAATAGAGGTTTTATTCTCCTACAAAATGAAACAAACTATAGCATTGCCCTTAGCAGATTCTTTCTGAAACATAGAGTTTCTCAAATCAGGCTATATGTTAGGAAGGGAAAAAAATTTACCAAAATCCATTTTTAAGGCAATAAACAATTGCTTCAACAATGAATTCCTAATCAACTTAAAAGATACATTTTTCTTCTAGAACAGCCATTTCTTTCATCTTGTAATTAGACTTTTTAAATTTTTAGCAGCTCACATAACTTTCATGGCCATCCAACTTCTTCCCTAGAGCTTACATTGATAGAAAATGTTTTCTACTTTATTTTTCTAAACCGTCACCATGGGATGGCACCTATTTCATTTTCTCTTCAATTGCAGAAGAACTAAAGGTTGACTGCATGAATTATTAGCTATAGACTATATTCTTGGAAGGTAGCAATGTATGAGCTTTATGTGATTATAAATCCTCTAATGCCCACAAATCAATTTCCCTCCTGGTTAGCCCTTACTTACCCACTAACACAGTGATGACTTTGTTGCTGGCATATTGTTCTATCTCCCGCAGCCACTCAGGAAGGCAACGGAAGGATTCCTCACAGGTAATGTCATAGGTGAGGATCAAGGCATTGGCGCTTCGGTAATAACTCTGGGTAATGGACCGAAATCTCTCTTGACCTGCTGTGTCCCAGATCTGTAGCTGTAAAGGCATAACAGAAGAATCAGGTGGAGAAGGATCAGGTTGGAGAAAAAAAGAAAAAAAAGCTTTGCCTTGCTTTAGTTTGGAAATGTGAACACCTTTAATGGTTTAAATGTGTTTAGTGGGAACACAAATAATTTAACGGTTACTTTCTGCCCTAAAGAAAAAAAAAAAGCACTGAAAATTAAAAAAAAAAAAAATTGTTGGGTGTGTTTCTGGTTCGGAAGAGGGGCTTATTTTGTTTTCTGTGTGTGTTTTTTTTTCTTTGTTAAGAGTTTCCTTTTCATTCTTAAAAAATACACAAAGAAAATTCATCAAGCATTTATTATGTGCCAAGCTCTATTCTAAGCATTTTACTTGTGGCAACTCACTTATTCCTCACAATAACCCTATGAGGTGGATACTATTACAATACCCATTTCTTGCATGAAGAATCTGAGGCACAGTGAGATTAATTAACTTGTTCAGCATCTCATAGCCAGTATGTCCCAGAACCAATTCAACCAGGCATTGTGGTCCCAGAGTCCACTTTCTTAAACACAATGCCATATTACAAAAGGCATGATACACGGCAAGCTGTTATCCTGTGACAACAAGCAGTTAATCAGCAACTGGAGGGACAGCCAACCTCACCACTTTTCCAGTTCGAAATTCAAATGAATGTATTAAGGTATTAGCTTTGTTAAAGAAAACAAGAACCATGCCATGGCAGACAACAATATAATTTCCCTTCAGGTCTCTTAAGCTCTATGACCTTGGTCAAGTCACTTAATCTCATTGGGTTTCGAGTATTTTTTTACAAAAAGTGGTTAATACACAACCTGATGAAGGTTCACTTTTTCTGCAGTTATCAACCAGTTCTAAGTCCTAATAACTAATAATTCTAATAACAAAGAAGGCAGTACTTCTCAATTTCCCTGAATTTCCCTGCACAGAGTAGACAACTACTGAAAACAAACTATCCTCCAGAGTATAAATCACAAGGCCTTGAGAAATAAGAACATCAACGAAAATACTAATCTTTCCTTCTAATTGCACAAATTTTGCAGGTCACAGGTGTATTCATGTCCAGTAAATAAGACTGCTTCCTCAGGAAGGCTTTCCAGAACTTTCAGATTAGGTTAGGTTCCCACTAAGCCACCCCTCCACCCCACACAGTCTCTCTTGCAATACATCCTGCCATTCTCCCTCATGGCACCTGACATGCCTGAAGCACTTACTTGTAATAATTTGTTTAATAGCCATCTTTCCCACTAAACTGAAATCTTCATGAGGGAGACGTCAGGGTCCATTTAGAGCAAATAGAGAACTTGGCAAACAGGAGATGCTCAAATATTTATTGATGGTCTCATTTAATCTTTACAGCAACCCAGTGAGGTAGGCAAGTGTATACCTCCCCGTATTAATGGAAACTGTCCCCTAACTAACTGGTTACCCGCGAAGCTAGGACTTGGCATCCAGGCCTTCTATTTCCAGTTGAGAACTCATTTCATGCTCCCATGCTGTTGTTGCCACCAAAGACTAACTAAAATGTGCATCTGTATCCAAAGAGGATGAATCCACTGGTGTCACTCTCTGCTCATACCAGGTTAGCTAAAGAGACTGCTGAGTGACCCGTAGTCCCTGCCATGAATCAGCAGCACACAAAGGCTCTCCTTTGATCTGCAGTTGCAGCTGCTCTTCGATGATACACATGAAAGCCTGTGTATGCTAAAGGCCGCTGTACAGATGTTACGGTTTTTGCTGGGACAAAGGCTATTTCTCTTCTCTGCCTCAAACCTAGGGACACGGTTCCTCTCTGCCAGGATGTGTCTTAGAATAACGGGCTATTGTTTTAAAGCTGCACTCAGTGCAGCTTTAAAACACTTGTGATTGTCATTTAGGTACTGTTCAGCATTAGAAATCAGTATGTTCTCACATCTTGAGAACAGCTTCGAGGGTTAAAGCCACTGAAATATTTTCTAGAACAGCGATTGTGTGAGCATGCCAAGATATGTTACCTTCTCATAGGGGGCTGCCTGTTTCTAGCTGAGAGTTGATTATTGAGAATATTCATATTCTACTGCCTTTGTTACTCAACTTGGTTTCACCATTCTCTGCAATTCATTTGCACCTTTCAGCATCTATAGGACATTAACATATGCAAGGCACTGTGCTAGGCGCATGGAGTATATAAAGATGAGTAAAACACAGGGAGGATATAAAGATGAAGAAAATCATTCCTAATTTCAAACAGCTCACAGTCTATAGGAAGGACACACACAGTTAATTAACTATAGTAGAATACAAGATGTTCTATTAAAAAAGAAGAGAGCGTCTCCTGCTGTTAGTCTTATGTCTGTCAATATGTTTTCAATACTGCAGCCACAGGCTTTCCAACCACTCTCACCTGCAGCATGTGGCTACATTGTTTGTCTACTCTCTTCTTTGCACCACTACTTAACCTCCATTGCCTCACCGTCACAATAATGTACTGCAATCATTGGTTTACTACTCTACTACTGAGTTCTTTGAGGGCAAAGGCTGTCTTCTATTTGACCTTACAGCCCCAGTACCTTCCTAACACAGTACATAGTATGTGGTAGAAACATTTGAATGATGGCTAACTGAATGAACAAAGGATTGTGGAATCACAAGGGAGGAATTGGTCAATTCTACTTAACAGATTAGTAGGGTATTAAAGAAGATTTCACAGATGGAGCTAGATGACAGTAAGTTGCTAAGGGGTAGTGATGCTTTACCACCACAGTGCTTGGCACAAAACATTTACTATAACACAGGATGGAGGAATGAATGGATGGACAGATGGTTGAAGAAACAAATACATACAAATATTTTGATGACTCGCCTATCAATCAACATAGACCTGATTGGAAGGAGATACAGCAAATCTTCTATTTCTATTATGATTAATCTCCTAAGGCTAAAATGGTTTAAATTGAGCTTAGAATTTTGCTTATTACTCATTAATTTATAATAGACTAAAAATTATATGAGAAAGTTCTGTGTTTTTTCCAATTTTTTATTCTGCTAAAACATACATACAATTTATCATTTTAACCACTTTTAAACATACAGTTCAGTGGTCTATATATGTTTTAATTATATTTTCTACCAGAGGTCACTTTCACAATGCAGACTATTTTAAGAGAAGCGCCTCTTCATTAATTTTGTTTTTACTGATTTGGTGCTTACTTGGCCTTAATAGCTACAAGAATCTTTCTAATACCTTGGATTCCCTGCCTTCAATCCTGGGAGCCATCCTGGAAAGAATGATACTTGTAGAGGACACTGACGAGGGTGTCAGGAGAGTGGTCCTGCCACTCACCAAGC